GTTGTCACTTCGAGGGGTAAAAAGTATAACTATTGCACTGTGTTGTACAGCTGAAACTAATTCTAAAAAATGTGTATTTCATAATAAAAAATAACTAAAAGAAAAAAAAGGGTCGACTTGCTATATGTGAACATTTAAAACATCTCAATTTTTGTAGCTGTGTTTTGGTGTCTTGGCTTTATTTTTAACATACTAGAAATCTGAAGGGTGATGCATTTTGGACTCTCTCACCTAGCTGTTCCACAAGCTTCTTATAAGCTGGGTCGATCCTTCTCATGGCCTTTACCAGATCTTTCTTTCGGAACTTAATCTCCACTGTTCCCTCTGGCTCCAGAACACCCCCCCTGAAAAAAGAAGCAGGGGTGGGAGTGGATGAAGAGTACCCCAACAAGTGACAGACAGCTAGGAGACACAGGGGTGGAGGCGAGAGAACCAGAAAATCTGAGTATCAGTTCTCAGCTCACTCACTGACTCACTGTGTGACCCTGGGCAAGTCACTTCCCCTCTCTGGTCATCTGCTTCACTATCCACACAATGAGGGACTGAGCCAACTTTTTAAAATAAACTCTACCCTCCCATTTCCAACCTTCTCACCCACCTCTCAGCCTCCCCCAGCCCCCTTTCCTTCTTCTAGCTTGGAACAACTGAGGAATACTTTATGTAGCTCTGAGCTTCCTGGTGGCCAGAGTGAAAAGTTAATGATCACCCTATTTGAAGCTGTTCATGTCTTGAGGCTTCCTGGAGGGCTGACCTCAGTGTCTAGGTAGGCTGAAGGCAGGACAGGTTTGGCTGATCTGCACCATTAGCACAATGCCTAGCATAATGCCTGGTATACAGTAGGTACTCAATAAATATCCACTGAATTAATAAATGAATAAAAGAGTGGACACAGGAATAGGGTGCCTATATTTTTGGGGGAATTACTCCTGAGGCCTTTCTATTCTGCATAGCATGTATTGGATTGTTGGAAAAGTCATGATGTATTTTTCTGTTTTTCGTTGCAAAAATGTGTCATGACTTTTCCGACAACCCAATAGCATAGTCTTCACTTGGAAGGTACTCAAACACTATTTTGCAAGTAGGATTGTCATCATCCTTTCTGTAAAAGTTCCTGGGATGAATTCCACCTAAAAAGAAAGTACTATTCATCTTTGGTTATTTGTTTGACCAGTATTTCCCAACCACCCTCTAGAAGTCAGGCCCTGTGCTAGGCCCTGGATTATAAAAATGGATAAAATACAGCCCCTATAGAAACTCACAGCTTTGGGAGACACTCAAAGTCTAGTGTGAGCAAGATGACTGGTCATATTTCCCTTTTCATCACGGCTGCCAGGAAGCTCAGGTGCTTTCAGTATTTATTTGACTGCAAACTTCCTTGGGAAGTTCGTGAACATTAATTATGAAAGAACAGACAATTCTGCCACCACCCCCATGCTCCAGCCACTATCTCTACTGAGAAAATCTAATTGGATACTGCATGCTAGTTTCAGATTGGTGAAACTAGAGGCTCTCCATCTTTCAAAAACTCCAAACACTCCCATATCCCAAGCCAGTGGCTCAAAAGTGAGGGGGCCTCAGGACGGGCAGTGGAAACAAGAAAAGGCTAAGCCAGGTTCAGGACCGCACACCCACCTGCTCTCTTTGTCCGCGTACATTTCTATGCACAGGGGGTTGATGGTGGAATCCACGACCACCCAGGAGCCTCCCCGGAGCTCGGCATAGGGTGGGATATAGATGAGGATGGGCTGTTTGTACTGCCTGAGGCCATCCACGATGTAGGCTCCAAACTTCAGCACCTGGTCGTACATGTCTGAAAAGCAAAGCAACCACCCGGTGAGGCGACTTCAGGCCCCAGCACTTACCCACCCGCAAAGCCCGCAGCCTTCGTGGTCCTGGGCGAGTGTGTTCCGCTGGGAGGCTTCATGGCGCCATAGAAAGAGTTGAGAGTCAGGAGCCAGCCTGGCACAGATGGCTCTACCATCTGTTTTACCAAGAGGCAGCGAAGTGTCTGTGTGACCTTGGACAAGTCACTATCCCTGCCTGGGCCTCAGTGTCCCCATCTGGAAAGGGAGGCATGGAGAGCAACCCATCTCCGATTCCTTCCAGCTCTGACTCTGCCCATGGCCCTGTCCCATTTCTAGCACGCAAAATCACACAAGTCCCTTCTGTCTTGCGCAGAGAGAGCAGGCCCTTATTTTCCACCAAGACAGCGCAGGTCTAGACACCCTCCGTGGTAACAATTATGCAATAACAAAATCAACCATCATCACACCGAGAGCTAACGCCATGTGCCAGAGATCAGCCCATCGAACCCTTTCATTGGCCCTCGGGAGCTGGCTGTATTCTCATCCCCTTCACGGGAGGGACACTGAGGCTCGAGGGGTCACCCAGCTAGCAAGGATTCATCGCAGGTCTGCCCACCTCCCCGTCCGGCTTTGTCCTCAGCACCCCACTGAGAGCCACTGTGTGTCTCAAAACATGCTTGGGGGGGTTAAAAAGCACTCCCACGACGGTCAGGTCACTGAGGCTCACAGCCCTCAGAGGCAGGCAGGGCAGACACACCTTCTCGCCTTACCCAAGCAGGGAGGTGACGACCCAGGACACGCGGCACATTGTGGGGCCACCTCACCCTGCCCTGCCATATACAATGTGACCTCCAACAAGTCACACTGGGGACCCTCAGTTCCTCATCTGTAAAATGGGCTGGCGTTACCTGAACGGCTCCCGTCTTCAGGGTTGTGTAGGGATGATGGCTGAGAGGACAATGGGACTACACACAGAAAAAAACGGCACTACTACCCTGATGGGGCTGTCCTGCCTGCTGACCCTGTGGCTTCAGGGCACCCACTGGGGAGGCCACCTTACCTTTCATGCCACCAGAGAAGCCCCTCCAGTTGGCAAAGATCATCAGGGGCAGCTTCTCTTGGTTGAAATCCTTGATGACCTGGGCCGTCTTATAGGCTGAGTCTGGGAACCACACCTGGCCCGCCTGCTGGATTATCTGGAACACAGAGCAGGATGAATGAGACTCCTCTGTGCAAGGGCAACCTCATGACACGGGACGGGCGGGCCACCTGACTGGCGTTGGCACCCACATGAGAGCCAGGGCTCACAGGGAGGGCCCACAGCTGGTCTCTAAGGGCCCCGCTGGACTGTCACACTTATAGATCGCCCCACTTATAGATTCTGAGGGGCGCCAAGCCAGTTGCAGCCACACTGAGTCGGGTCCTAGGACCTGCTCTCTGATTTCTGAGCTCCTTCCAGTATGTGGCATGGCTCAATCTAGAAACAGCAATGAAATGGGGGCGAGCGGTGGGAGGGATTCCTAGGGACCTTGTGTCGTCCTCTGAGGAAGAAGGAAGACGGTGTGAAACAATGCATCCTGCAGAGAGTGCCAGAAAAGCAGGCACCCAGTCCCCTGGGGCCAGGACCCCTCTGAGTCTGAGCCGGAAAGGCAGGTATGCGACACCAGGACCCACTGCTGTCACTGAGCCGGCTGCAACAGCAGCCCCAGCTCCCTGGCCCCCTCACCTTGGCCTCGGAATCCAGGTTGGCAGGGTCCGCAGGCACCACCACCTCCACCGTCCGCGTCTCCACAGCAATCACTCCGACAGGGATCCCCCCCAGCCTGCAAGGCGGAGCACAGATGAGCCGGGTGCTGGGGGGCAGATGGGTCCACCCAGCCCCCACTGACATTCTGCAGGTGTCTGGAGAGAGCGCTCATGGTCAGGATGAGGGCACGCAGAGGACAGTGCTGTTGTCGCTCTGGCACGGTATTTTTTTGGAAAGCAAAGCAGCAGCCCAAAGCAATATGCGCCTCACAAGGTGGCAGGCTGGCAAGATCCTGCTGGTACCCATACTGGCCACAGCCATGATCGAAGGGGGAGGGGCAGGCCAGTGCAGGGTCTGAAGCAGCACTGCCCATTAGAACGTTCCACAATGACGACCAATGTTCTCCACATGTGCTGCCCAGTAGTCGCCAGGAGCTGCATGTGGCTACGAGCACTTGACATGTGGCAAGTACAACCGAGGAACAGATATGTCGTCCTCTTTCATGTTCATTCATTTACATTTGAATTGTCACATGCGGCCAGCAGCTACCACATTAGATAGCGCAGGTCTAGACACCAAGTTGCATCTAGAAAGGACTGAATGATGTTGAGCCTGGAGCTTCGGAAGCTCAGGTGACGCCATGACATCCGTAACTGTCACCAATGTAACTACCGGCCACCCCGTGCCGCGTGCATTACTGGGTTCATCTCTTAGTCACCTAACAACCCTACGTGGCAAGTGGGGACACAGCAGTCTTCAAATAAAGGAGGGGCTGCCACATAAAACGAGGAGTAGATTTCATCTCAGATATTTTTTTTTAATTGTTTTCAAAATAAAACGCTTATGGAGAAGCAACTAAGAGCTGCTACTAGGCTTAGTATTTTAATACTTATGTTTGGCCCAGGAGGTAAATCACAACGATAATAACAGTCATACCAGCTGCCACCACTTACAGAGCATTTATGATATTTTATGCGCTTAATGTATCACTTCTAATCATCACAACAACCCTCTGGGGGTAGAAGTATCACCCCCATTTTACAGATGTGGATATGAAGGCCCAGAGAGACTACTAAGTGACAAGAGTGGGGGCTTGACCTCAGGTTCTGACTCCAGAGCCTGGACTTGTAGACAGTACACTGTGCCAGGAATCTGCGTAGTCAATTATGAGGGTGCTGCTTTGGGATCCACATAAGGAGGAACTTTGGGGCTACCAGAGCTGCCCAGAAAGATGACGGCTACACCGCTGTGGAGTGAGCTGCTCAGCTCTGAAAGCATTCAAGCAGTGAAGCCTTCCACCAGCAATGGGATACAATAGGGGTCCTGCTGTGGTCCTCCTGAAATGGAATTCAGTTTTGAGTGTCTGTGTAGTTTCCTGGTGAGAGCACCAGGGCTGTCTTCTGATTCCCAATGGGGTCCGAGTCCCCCATGGCTAGAGAGCTCTGTCCCAGGGGTGGACACTAGGGGCAAGGGTCCCGGCCCCAGACAAATCTAGACTTTATCAAGAAGTTCATCATCCAGGAAACCATTCCCCAAATTAGTCTTTCTTTCAGGAAATTCTGGGGCCAGGAAGAAAGTGTCCCAGTGTCCAGGGAGGCCAGGTGTGTGTAGCCTGCCCCGCCCTCACGGTTACCTTGCTCGTCCCGTCACCACGGTCTGGGCCCAGGGCTCCAGGATTTCCCTGAAACTGCCCTGGTCGAAGAATCCACTCTGCCAGGATCCCTTCAGAGCTGTGGGCAGAAGGTAGAAGCTCAGGCTGAGCGGCTGGGTTGATGAGGGACCCGGGGGTCCACCCGCTGGCCAGCCTGTCCACAGTCTAAGGACAGCACGACCTTCACCTGACAGCCTAATATTTTCCCAAAAAACCACACAGCTCTCAACCCCCCGCCAAACAAACAAACAAAATATCCAGGGCTGCAAAAAATACACCACGTCAGGAATTCAGTTCACATAGACTATCCAACCACATCAATTTCCATCAATGCCAAACACAGGGAGATCCCAATTACAGAGAACTGATGGGTGCCTTCGGGGCGGAGGGGGCGGAGGGGATTCAGAAAGGGACCACCTGCCCCCCAAAACTCATCCCTGACCCCTGATCTGCTGGCTGTAGCTTAATAAACCTTTAATAGGAAAGAAAGTATTCAGTTTCCGAGAGAGAGAGAGAGAGAGAGAGAGAGAGAGAGAGAGAGACAGAGACAGAGACAGAGAGACAGAGAGAGACAGAGAGACAGAGACAGTGTCAGCTGCAGCCTCCCTGGCGAGGAAATGATGGCTTAAATACACACCACGGTGTACATGACTGCGGTTTGGACACGGGCAGCCATGCGGCAGGAGGGGTCTCAGGTTGCAGGTGTGGGAGGCGGGGCACCTAGGAACCAAGCTGCTCACCTTCAGTGTCGACCTGAGGACTGGCCTGACTAGAAGGTAAAAATTGCCAGTCAGAAGTTGGACAGATTTTAATCAAGATGAAGCCAGCCCCCTGTGTTCACAGGCGAGAAAGGCCAAGAGAAACAGAGAGGGGGGAGCAAGCCACGGGGCTTTTGCTGGCAGGGAAGGCACGCTCCCCGACCGTCACCTCCCCTGCACCGTGCAGCAGGGTGAGCAGGCCAGTTTCTAAAGGTGGCAGCGTGTGAAATGCTAGACTCGGGATGATGGCAGCGCGGTAGCTCAGCTTTCCTGTTCTTTTCTGGTTGCTCAGAAAGTAACCATATACCTCCAGGGGACAAACCTGCTCCTTTGGGGACAAGGGTGGGGGGTGGAGGGGGAGCAAACCCAATCATTGACTCTGTAAGTGGGGACACAGGAAGAAACAAAATGATTTTCTTGGTAGAGCCCGAACACAA